ATCTTTTGTTTTTAAAAAGTTATAACAATTTAAAAAATTTTATAATTAAAAGGTGATGGCTTTAGATGAAATCCACTATATGAATTTGATTTTTAATTGCTTTAATATCAATTATACTAAATAATTTAGTTAATTGAAGCCTAGGACATCTATAATAATATAGATTCTTTTTAGATTTAAAATCATACTACTGAATTAATACAAGATTTAAACCTTTTTGTTATATTTAAGCTTTACTAATAAATATATCTAAAATTAAATATTAAAAATTTAAATTAATATTTTTAAAAAATTTTAAAAATTAAAATATAAAAAAATACCTGTTTATAACAAATTTCTTGATCTAATAAATAATCAAATAGTTCTTCAGAATTCATAGCAACTACTATATTACTATATTACTATACCAGGCTTTTCTATAAAAATTATTTGTTGCCTGAATTATAGATTTATTTATTTTTTTTTTTTTCAGCATATCCTGCTACTGTTTTATTAAAGTATTAACTAAGCAAAAATTACAAGAATTCTTAACTAGTCATTTTTTTAACCACAGACAGTAACTTACTTGACTTAAAAGCCCAGATACGATATCGCCTAGTGGCCATTTACCTCTCTCTAGGCTCCTAACTTTCTAGTGGCATGAATTATTTGATTATTGGCTAGTGCCACAAGCCATGTTAGTATCATCTTTTCTTTTTTACAAAACAAAATACAAACACAAATTCAAAGGGCAAAAAAGAAAAAAAAAAGTGATACCTCAGCATTCAAATTCAATTCACCTAAACAAAAAACCAAAATAATATATAAAAAAAAACAAAATCAAAGAAAAACAACAAAGATAGTACTATTAAATCTGTGCTGAATTGTAAAAATTATATAGTACTACTAAAAAACTAGTCTAAACTCTACACTAGTTATTTATGTCTATATTAGAATATATAAAATATCATTCTTGAGTAGAGATCCAAGTTCAAAATTTCTTTTGCGGTCCTACCAGATTTTAGCATAATATTCTACAAATACATTCTTATACTTAATTGCTTGTTTCTGGGCAAAGTTAATGACTTATGCTTTTTTAGCTTCTGTAAATCTTAGTATAAACACTATAACTTTTTGAGGTAATCGATCAAACGTTTTTTATTTCAAAGTAGGCATATACTCCTATACGTGACTTTTCTTTTTCGGTAACAATTGTTGTTATTGATTTTTCAATAAGAATATGCTGTATTTTCTACTTTTTGTCAAAATTTCATAAAGAACAGAGAGTGGGGTCTTGAAAGAGGGTTTTGGTTTGCGGGTAGTCTTAAATTTTGATAAAGAGTATGTTAAAAACTTGCTTGTTGTTTTCCTTTAGACCAGATATATTTAACTTTATCAGTAAAAGCTATACTTTTATTAAAATTTTTTGTACAAAGGTACTACAGTACCTCCTGCCAGTTATCTTGTACAAGAATGCTTTTAACTTGCTTGCTAAATATACAGAGAAGTCTAGAAAAAAATAGTGATTAAAACTTTGACCTCTGTAAAAACTGTTACTTATAGTTGTCTTTTCTACTTTCTTCAACAAGTTTTCTATTTTCATTAGTCGAATATTTGGTACGAGTAATCATCAAGAAAAGTTGTTGTATAGATTCATTTTCTAAAATAACTAAACCATATATTTTGACTATATAATTATCTAAATTAATTTGATCTGTTGAGTCAAAATATGTATCTAAATATTTTAAAAGATATTTAAGTCCAGAATATATTTTAGAATTTGAATCATAATTGTTTAATTGTTGGTTAATAAATTCTTAAGCATTATTCAAGCTAAATATTCAAATTAAATTTGTAAATTTATAAGAACTTATAGTTTTAATATTCTTTTTTAGCTTGTTTGATAATAATTTTATAGTAATAGCCTATCTTTAAACCTATTTAATTTAAAATAATTAAATTAATTTTATAAAAATACTATAAATATTATTAAAAAAATTAAAATAATTCTTATTATTTTCATTAATTAACTTTCTATATTCTGTTTATTAGTTAAATAATATGGTGTTTTAACAAAATCTTTATGAAGACTTTTATAAGTTTTTGTAGAAAATCTATTTAAAAAACCATATTTTCTAATTAAATCAATAATATGATATATCTATGAATGTAATTTTGGATATTTTAATTCAGATGAAGAATATATCTTAAAAATATTAACAAATTGTTGTGCCCAATTTGTTATTAATATCTAAATAAAATAAATTAATATTAATAATTAAATTTTAATAAATTTAAAATATTGTACATAATTGTTAAAGAATTTAACTAATTGGATACCTGGTGTTTGAAACACAGATTCTGTATAACATGTAAATCAAATTAATTTTTATCAAAATAAACAAATAAATAAAATATAATTTAGCTAATATTAGAGTTAGTATTAGGAACTAATATTAAGGCAGGTTATAGTTTATATCAAAATTTTGCAAGAAATTTTTTTTTTTTTTAATATCAAAGTGATCTCATGGTTAGTTGCCTTTATTAGTTTATGTGCTAAACTGATCGAGTCAGCTGCTACTTATTTGATATATGATTTTAGAGAATACAATTAGCCATATGTACAATTTTTAATTGTCTATTTAAGTAGTCCGCCCAAAGGTTTTATACTAGATGCTATACCTATAATCCAACTAGAGGATTATCTATTTAAACCCTCTGTGTTGCCATATCCTTATGAGGAACCAATACCTGCTATAGGAAGCTTCCTGACCTAGGCTAATTTACTCTCGAGGTAAACTTGCTAGAGTTTTTCATATCTACAATCTGGTTAATCTAGGCTTCAGTAACTTACACCGAGTCCAAGAACAAATACTTGTGAGCCAAAACCATTACTATTATCTACTTCTGCCCTTATAAAGTTCACTCAAACCCCAGTACCACTTTACAGACTATTAAAAGTACTTTCTGAATCTCAAACTACCAATTCAGATGGCCAGGAAGAGACTTTCATTTGAAAGTTACTAGTCCCCTGGTAACTACAAATTAAGCAGATTCTTTTTTTCTGATTTCAGCAGCCTGGTTAGTGGAAATGCCTCCTCAAATACTTCATCTATTTAGTTTTCCCAGTTTAACCTGACTATTCCAAATTACCAATTCTGATGACCCAGAAGGGACTTTCATCTAAAAGTTACCAGTCTCTTGATAACTACAATTAAGCAAATCCTTCTGGTTTTTCTGGTAATAACCCTTTATATAGTACTATTAAAGATTTGTACTACTTCTCTACTTGGGTCTTGCCAAGCAAGTATCCGTAACTTCAATTCTTTGGCTTTATACAGATTACTGGTTAATAATCTTTCCAGATATAGAATATTTGGTACAACCTTAGTTACAAATTAGCAATCTAATTTATTGTTACGATAACTGTTCTATAACAGAAAATTCAAATTTCATAATATAGAATTCGAACTCTAGATGTGCTGCTTGGGAGTATGACAACTTCACCACTTACTAAGTCTTCACACTTTAAGAAATTTTTTTCTTAAGCCCCAAGAATGGTTTTATATATAAAATTTTGAGATATTATTGATTATTTGTTTTTTGCTTTATTTTTGTTGCACAAAAAATTGATCTATAATATGCATTTATTTAAATATTTTGATTGGCTTTTTTATTTGTTTTGTATAACCAAGTGTTAATACACCTAGTGTCCAAATAGAAATTGTTATTGTTAAAATAGTAAAAAATATAAATATTTAATTATCTCAAAATTATTTAAATCAGTTTCACAAAATTCTTCATTTCAACTCAAAATATACATATCATTCTATATTTCAAAAATATTTAATAATTTTTTGTTTAACATATTATTAACAATTAAATTATCCAAAACAAAAATTATAACTTTCATCAAATTACAATATTCATTAGCTGTAAGTCTAGCAAGTGATTAAATTCTCTTCTTAAATATTTTAAGTTTCAGATATCTTAAAATATTAGCTAATCTATTATCCATTTCATCCAGTATTGAAGCTCCATATAAGTCTTTTAAAAAATCATATGTAAAAGTAATTTGATAGTTAAATAATCTTAAATCTAAATGATATATTCTATTAATTACTGTAGCTTTATAAATATTAATATCTCTGAAATTAATAAAATTTTGTTAATTTTATATTATTTTAAAAAAAATTAAATTTATTAAATTATATGCATAATTTCGCAAATTTACAAATTTTGAAATATTTTTAAGGATTTTTTTTTTGGTGTATCCCTAACAAGTGACTGATTTATATAATATATACAGATTTTTAATTAGTATATTAAATATCATATATATAGTAATAATGTTGTAATACATATTGCATAATTGCAATTTATTTATAAAAAAATCAAGAATAATTATATATCACTATATGTATAATACTAAAAAAACAACTACATTATAGTGCTAATATCACTAAACCACCCAATCCTAATCCTAACTCTAACCCTAAACCCAAACAAACTACTCAACCCAAACTCTAACTGACTACTAAAAAAATATTAACTATTAAGTCACTATTCGTTACTGGCAACGAAAAACAAACAACGAAGTTGCAAAACTACCAACTACGAATTTACTACCAGTAGCATACCAATACAACAAAACCAACAAGACATATTTCATAATATTATGCACACATCAGCAAGACAAGAAACTGAAAAGAGAACTGCACAAAGATATGACTAACAATTGTCTAGAAAGAAGAGCATTAGTTAAATTAAACAATACAACATAACAACAGGGATACAACTCCAACTATAGCGACTTTAACAAAACACAATTCTAACTGTTAACTGCCCTAGAAAAAAAAAAAGCAGGTTAGTCAATGTTATATAAGAAAAGCTCAATGTTGTATGATGAAAGAAACAAGGTGGCCAACAAAAACTAATAACACCACCAGAAAAACAACATGGTATAAAAGTGATAAAACCTTACTGACTAGTTACTCCAACTATGACAACAGCAATACCAAAATAATATAGCACCAAAAGTGATAAATATATACTGGCAATTCTCTGATTATGGTGAAGCAACTCCAACAACTCCAACACAACAACTTCAACAAGGGCAATTTTCAACTGTTGACTATTCTGAAAAGAAAAGGTGGATGTTAGTTAACCATTATATAAGAAAGGCTTTTACACAAAATGAAAAAACACGATGAAACAAAGACTCCAAAACTCACTACTGGCAAAACAACATAGCACAAGAGTAATAAAACCTACTACTGGTTATACAGACTATGGTGACAATGACTCCAAACACAGCACCAAAAGCAACAAAATCCTTACTGGCAATTCTCCAATCACAGGGATACAAACAGTATTCTGTATCTGAAAAAAAAAAAATTAGCTAAATGTTATGTAAAAAAAAAAAAAAAAATCAACTGATCTGATATAATTGATGATCATTATTTATACCTGTAATCAGGAGGTGCATCATAGTGCAGAGTACACCAAAATATAAATTTCTATTTTTAAAATTAAATTTCTAGATATATTAAATTATATTTATAATTTCGCAACTATGTAAAATAATTTAATAAATTATAATATTATAATATTAAACTTACTTAAATTTTTAAAAGATATATGGTACAGATTCAATGCATACTGATTTTTCTTTCCTATTATTATAATAAGTTTACATATTTTTATGATTTCTAAATACTAAATCATGCTTAGAAATATTTGAATTTGCTAAATTATTCCTATCTATTAGACAAAAATAGCAAAAATAATTAGAACTTGCTAACTTATACATTAAACAAAATGTTGCTGCTTCTGGCTAATCAGTGATTATTGTTGAATTTTTGAATATATTTGTTATCAAATAATAAATTAATTCTATTATCCGAATATGATTGAATTGGTTCTAAAATTATTTCTAAATATTTATGAAATGTTTGTCTAACTATTTTTTTATCCAAGTTAGATGATATTTTTATTATTGGCAAATAACCTAATAATTGCTTTGCATCTTGTTTATTTTTGCGTCAAGTAGGTATATTGCCCAGTGACAAATATATTGAATAAAATTGAGTTTTGCTTAATGTATCACAATTTGTAGCATCAGAATATAAAATAATTGATAAAATTTTTGAGCCTATCGGTAAAGTATTTTGAGTAGTCTTCTACTATATTCTATTATTTTGCTCTTTATAAATATTCTCTTTACTATTCTTTAAAAAAAATAAATTAATAAAAAATCAATATAAATATTTTAATAAATAAAATTAAAATTTACTTCAGTAGTTTTATATAATTTTTCAAATTTAAATACAAAATTTTGTGATATGTCAGGTATTTCTAAAATATTTTTAATATAACTAATTAATAGCATATGGTATAAGAAATACTTAATATTATTATATTCTAATATTTTAGTTTTCTTATATAACAAGTTAGATTTCATATTGTTCATAAACTGGTTTTCTTGTGAAATGTTTTTTGTAATAGTGATATAGAATAATTTGAATGTTTATTAAAAAATGAAATAATTGCATTTCCAACTGCATTACTTAGCTTATATTTTGTAATCAAAACTATTAAATCAGCATAAACTTCATTAGAAAATGTATCATATTTCTAATTAGTTTCATTATCTGATAAATATCTTCAGAAATTTCAGCATTATTATAAATTTCTTTAGAAAGATCTCTATATTCTTGTAAAGTATTTTCAAAATCTTCAAGAATATTAGTATTATTTTCTTCTAATTCAAAAAATATATCTTTTAAATACTCAGAAGAATCTTCTATATTATATAAATTTGAAAAAGAAGCATAACCTTTAAAATTATTTTAATTAAATGCAAATTTATTAAATAATTTCAAAGTATTGTGAAATTTAATATCTTTGAATGAAATTTTTTTAGAAGAAAATTACTATTTAATTTAAGAGCATTTTTATTTGTACACAGTGTGTATATGCACGGTTAATATAGAGAGCCAATCAGATTGCACAATCAGGTATAACGTAAAATTATTGTTTTCTACAAAATATTACCTATATCTCAAAATTTCACTTATGAAACCACCTTTTGAATTCTAACAAAAAAAATTCTTTGTGAAAATTTGATATAAAGCTATAACCTGCCCAAATCCTAAATGTACTCTTATCCTAACCCAAAGTAGGCTTAATTTTTCGTTTATAAAAGTTGTTTTGATTAGCATATTACACAGATTTACAAATTAATAACCGTGTTCAAACACACCATGTACAAATAGTAATTTTCTTAATTTAATTTCTGTAATATCAAAAGGATCTTTTTGAGTATATTCAGCTTCTATCAAAGTATTGCGAATAATTTCAGAACTTTTAATTACAGAAAGCTCTTCATAATCAACAAAAAAAAAATATTTAAACATATGCTTACTCAATCCACTACAAGTTGAAAAAATGCGGTTGCAAAATGAATACTTAAAGCTAGACATTTTTAGTAAATAGAATTTTTTATGATTATAATAGTTAGCAAATAGTTTAAAAATATTTTAAGAATAAATAGAAACAAAAATTAAAAGAAAAATGAAGTTTTAGCTTATTTATATTTTTTGAATACCTAATTAATCTTTTCTTAAAGTATTTAATTTTTTATGTTAATTTTATTTATTCCTTTAAATTTTTATTATTCTCTTTCAATATTTTAAATATATGCAAAATTATTAAAAATATGCAATTTTAGAATCAATATACTAAATAAATTTTTATTTA